AATATTCCACCTCAGTGTGGCCCCCACACCTGAAAAGATGTGTGAAGCTTGAGAAGGTCCAAAGGTTTGGAATCAGGTTGGTGCCAGAACTGAGAGATGCACTCTGAGGACAGGTTGAAGGAACTAAACTTGACAGCCCTGGCAGAGAGGACAAGAGGAGACATGATTATGATATACAAAATCTTAGAGGAATAGATAGACAAAATGTTGTGATTAAGGAGGATAGGATCATGATGGCACAGGTAAAAGCTGAAAATACAGTCGAGTCATAGAAATGTAAGGACATAGGGTGACTGAAAAGTGGAATGATTTGGTTGTTGCAGAGATGGAGGCAAACTCGATATACATTTTCTGAGTATATATAAGGCTCACACCCTATATACAGTACATACATTCATGCACTCACATAAAAGTATGCACACACACACACAAAAGCATGCACATACAAAAACACACTCAAAGAAGCACTCATACATACCAGCTTTTTATACAGGAGGACCCCACTTGTACAGCAGGTTATTTTTTGGGTTACTGCTGTAAAATGAAACATAGCCCCCCCTTTCTTTTTTCACGTTCAAATGCATATAAAAGCCTGGTAACATGTTTACACCATCATATATTAAGTGAGCAATAGTGTTAGGCTAGAAACAAATATACATACATTACATACATTATTTACCTTAAAATATTTTTGTCCTTAGCTTATAGTGAGTGGTAGATATATTTATTGAAGGAAGTCTGAATAAATGAAGAATGGGTATAATTGAAAAACCGCTGTATTGGCGATATACCCTAAAGCAAAACCGCGCCCCACCTCTATGGATATATGAAGGATTTTAATTTGCTGTTTATTTTCTTTATTTAAAAAATATAATGAAATATGAAAGTTAAGCTTTGAAATAAATGCCACTGTCTCTGTATCAATTTACTTTAGAATTTTTCATTGTAACTTGAGTTATTGCTTTATGTAATATATTTGTTTTTCCCTTGCATAATAAATTTTTTCCCTCGCATAATAAATTCTTTGTGTTGTAGTTCTTTGAATTAATAGGAATTATTGAAAATTAAGCAAAATAATTGATCTTCAGTTGTATAACAATGTTATGCTCCATAAGACGACTTTTATTTTCATATTGACACCTCTTTTTATAAACCCTTGTTGTTTTGCATTTTTCTGCCCATTCAGTGCTTCCTCCTTGTACACTTTTAATGTATGAAGAGCTGAACTTTGTGCAAAAACAAATTCAGAGTTTGATAAGAATGGATCTTGGGATAATGTATACCCTTCATGAGTTTTCTTCAGTTTCATTCTTTCTTTTGCAACTGTCAAATTTAATAACTCAGAATTTAAACTCTGACAAATGGCAATGTTTGGTTCAGTCTTCCAATCATGGCAGATCATCTTATGAACTTTAGAGATGGAGAAGGCAGGGAACAAATGTTTTCTACTTTGTCATCACAATTGGAGAGCTGGGTTCCTACACCTTATGTGAAGCATTACACTTGTCCTTCCTACATAACACATTTATTTTTTTAAAGAATGCATAGACAGTGTTCTGTTGTACATATAGTGTAGGTAGTGAAGTCTCTGTTTTCAAGATCAGACTGTTAACAGGCTGAAATGTTCTGCATTCGGTCCTATTATTTCATTCATTAGTTGGGTTTGTGACTTTGTGTGGTTTGAAGAATTTAACTGAATATAGTTATTTGACAGTAAATACAAATAAGTGGTTTTTGCTTTTAGAACCTTGCAGGAAATATTAGTCCTGCTTACCTTAAATCTGGAAAAGGAATTGCATCTCTGCACATTGATGTCTGTAGTCTTCCTTTCTCATCTGCTTCACATCCTTAGCTTCTGGGCATTATTATTGAAATTTTTCCAGCGTCACGGTAAGTGTGTTTAAGTAATAGGATGCATTGCGTATAAATAATATAAAAAAATTGTTAAACCGTACTGTGCCTAGGTGAGTGTTAGGACAACAGGCCCTAAAAATACCCAGGGAAGTACTGTATGAACATTACTCAATAATTATTGTTAATTTTATTGTAATGCCCATTACTTTGCATCATTACAGCTAGAAAGAGTAATAACACAAATGCAGCGTAATATGTCCCTTTATTAATGTTTTGCCAACTCGGTGGGGTTTATCAAATCTCAAACAGATTTATCTGAGAAGAGAGGATGTGCATATACATAGCGAGTGTAATGACATGGAGAGTCAGGTGAGGTACGTTGAAGCTGCCTTCTTGGGTAGAATGATAAGTTTGACGAATATATGGCTAAGAAGAGGTTGGATTCAAGAGGGACCTCCCTACCTTGAGCCAGTAGGCCTGCTGCAGTGTTCTACTATAACTTACTTGGGTGGGATAGCAATCATGAAGCTCCTGGCAAGAGGTTCAGATATATTGTAGAAGCCTTTCTGGCTGAAGTTGTTTGATATGCTGATTAGTGATTCAAGAATCCTGCATTTTGAAGCTTCTTCTTCTTTGACACTCAGTTGTGTGACATTGTAATTGATCTGGTGGTTGTAGGATCTGTGAAACACAGGTGTTGCACAACTGGTCCTTTCGGCTGGTATATTTGTGTTCAGAAATGCATGTGTGGACATCTCAGGATGTTTCTCCCACTTATCTTTGATCAGTCATTGTAAATGATTTTGTATGCTCCCATAGTTTTCACATTGTAGTCTCTCTTATTGGTGATGCCCTTGATTGCAGAAGAGACAGTGGTAGATATTTAGAATTTGGTGTTGGAGAGAATGCTGGAGATGTGTTTAACAATATAGTTGTTAGGGAGGACCATGCATATTCATTCATTTGTATTGTTTAGGCGAGTTGAAGATGTGTGCAAGGTGCCTTCAGTGTCTGATGAAATAAAATGTTATTGGAAAGAACATTCTTCAAGGAATTCACTTCTACAAATATGAAGAACACAGAGGAATGAACCTATGATGATATATTTAGGCTTGGTGTCATGGTGTGAGTAGTCAAGGAGATTGTGTTAACCCTTTGACTGTTTTGGTTGTATATATACGTCTTATGAGCCAGTGTTTCGGACGTATATATACTCGGTAATTCTAGCAGCTTCAAATCAAGCAGGAGAAAGCTGGTAGGCCATCATGTGAGAGAATGGGTCTGTGTGGTCAGTGTGCACCATATAAAACGTCTTGCAGCACACAGTGCATAATGAGAAAAAAAAAAACTCCGCCCCTTTTTTTTTTTTTTTTTTTGTATTAAAACGCAGACTTTGAGGTGTATTTTCGTATAGTATTTATCATTATATTCTCATTTTCACAGTCTCGTGTGATAAAATGAAAAACTTATTACAGAAATAGAGATGATTTTGATTAGTTTCATGAAGAAAATGACCTTGAAATTGAGCTCAAAGTAGCGGAAATGTTCGATTTTTACCAATGTTCAAGAGTAAGCAAATCACACCACATGTCCAATACACATCAACTGGGGAGTCTAATATTCATTCACTAGTGCACTGATATTATTTATACCATTTTTACAATAATGCAGTAATCTGCATACCTGGAGTTTACCTGGAGAGAGTTCCGGGGGTCAACGCCCCCGCGGCCCGGTCTGTGACCAGGCCAGTAAATCTATTTTTTGTATGAATTAAAAATCAAAATAGCAATAGTAATATAAGAGGGGCCTAGAGATGTGACTAATGAACAGAGGATATGTTATTTTAGTGCCAAGAATGTCTACATTGTTTATTCTGGACCCTATTTTGAAATTGGCATCTTTTTTAATTTGCATGAAATTGGCCAAATTGCCAATTTCTGACCATTTTATTGGGTAGTTCAAATTGGTAAATGGGCAGTTTCTTGTACTCAGTTGATAGAAAAAATGGAATTCTAAAGAAATAGCTAAGAGTTTGGTCAACTGGAACAACGGAATTGGCCAAAATTAGGGCTCAAAGTCGGCGAAACCGCCGATGTGTATATGTCGCTGAGACCGCTAACTTCGCGGGAGCGTAATTCCGTGAGTTTTCGACCAAATTTCGTACTTTTGGTGTCATTACCATTGGGAAAAGATTATCGTTTCATAAGTTTTTTTTTTTTTTTTCTCCAAAAATTTTTCGACATAGAATGATAGTTTCAGAAAGGGACTTGCAACAGTCGGAGGGTTAATTTGGAGGTTTTTAAGACTTTGCAATGTAATTCATGATCAGATTTACAGAGAAGAACATGAGGAAAGGTAGTGTGCCATAAATTTTGTCCACAAGTGTGAACTGAAACAGGGCTCCACCTGGTTAAACTAGGAGTGCTGGATTCTGGGATCTTCACTAATCAGCATATCAGACAACTTCATCCAGAACAACAACTTCTGCAACTTAGCTGAACCTCTTGCCAGGAAACTTAATGATTGCTATCCACGTAGCAACAGATTATAGTACGTATGGGGAAATACTGCAGCAGGCTTACTGGCCTAAGATAGGCAGGTCCCTCTTGAATCTAATCTCTCCTCAGCTATATATTTGTCAGCTTAACATACTTTGCCTGACTCTTCATATCACTAGGCTATATATATACGTGTGCGCACGCGCAGTACAACTTTGGTTATCAGTTGCTTTACTCGTCGAGTAAATCAGTTTTTGAATAAGGTGTCTGAGAAAAAAAAAAGTCCTGGTTTTTTGTGCGTTCTCTTGGTTGTCGACAGACAAGTTTTCGCATGTACAGAACTGGACAGTGACAGTGTAATGTCTCAATTTAGACAAGTGTTAAAAGAGAGCCTGAAATAAACCTCACTAGACAGCTTTTTAGTGAGACAAAGAACCAGTGAGCCAGAACAAGGTGTTAGTGGTGAAGAGAGACAAAGAAGAGAAACAACACCAAGAGGACAGTTGCTTGACATATTAATAGATGATGACTCCTTCCAAGTATGTCATTAGCTCTGAGAGGTAAGGGGAAGTTAAATTTTCATGTACTGTACAGTAGTATTTCAGTTATATTTACAATATTAATATACTAACTACTATATATTAATATAAAAGTAGTTAGTATATTAATATTGTCATTTGGGGTCTGGAACAAATTCATTTTATTTTATTCTTTATGGTAAAATTGTTTTCATTGTCATCGATTTCGATTGTCAAATCGACATCTGGAAACATTAAATTTGAAAACTGAGGTTCCACTGTGTGTGTGTGTGTGTGTGGTGTGTGTGTGTGTGTGTGTGTGTGTGTGTGTGTGTACATATATATGTACAGCCTCTCTCCCTAGGTAGATCTTTTTGTAACTTGATAAAGTAAACTGTGAGAGAAATGTTATCAATGTAGGATCACATTATACTGCATTTATCTTTATCCATAGTGGAAGCATTTTATGCCATTTTCCTCCAACTAGAAGGATTAATGAATTAAGCTTGATATTGCAAAAGGAAAGCCTGTTTATCATTGATAATACTACTGTTGGTGTTGAAATATAATTTCATTAACAATTTTAATAGTACAGTAGTAATAGCATTAATATTAGTATTAAATACAAATGTTAATGACAATTGCACTTGTAATTAAAGATAGGCAGATGTAGCATTGAGGATGGCATTGAGAATTGGCAATATTAGTATAAAACTAATGCACATTATAGAAACTGAAATCTAAATACAATGTTAAAATTAATGGTAAAAATACAAATAAGTACGTATTGTAAAGGCATATATCTACAACCTAAAACACATGACTAAATAAGGGATTGTAGGGAAGTTAGAAGTGATTTTGTTCTATGGGAAATGTGTGCTGCACAGTATGACTAAAAGGAGGAAAATGGAAAAGCAAACATGATTGACTTGTTATAAAAAAGGTAAATTTTAAGTTAGAGAATATTTCAGAGAAGCAAAATGGAATCGAATATTATAAAGGATGTATAGAAAAATAGTTACGCAAAAAGTTCTTGAACGTATTTGAAAGTAGAATCGACATTTCCTTCATAAAAAAATAAATAAAAAAAAGTAGGTACTGGAGAGCCATGGAAAAAAGGTCTTTGAACCAAAACAAGAAGTTTGTCAACTTAAAGACCTAGTAGACATTTACAAGCTAGCAATCAGTAAATATTTAAATACAAGTAAAGAAGAGGAAAGAAGCATTGTAAAATGGAATCATATCTCCTTGAGTTTATAAAAAGCAATCACGATATGAAAAATTAAAAAAAAAAAAAAAAAAAAAAAAGCCAGCGGTGAAAGCAAAATTACCAACTGGAAGTGTAAGATACCAAATGTAAAGTTCCAAAATGTGTTTACAGACATATTCAGATGAAGCAGTTTTAAACTTTAAAAACCCAGTTAAATTGGAATATTATATTAACCATAGTAGTAAAGTAGCTTCTGTTGGTCATTAGAAAAGTTATTAGATCAGTCATGATATCACTCTGACATCTGAAAGAATATGCTTAAACAATAAATTATCAGCTCTGGAAATCTTTTGGGATTTCATTACAAAAACATACACTGGCAGATAACTGGAAAATGTTGAGCATGCTGATATTCAAACAAGGCAGTGGGATAGACTTCTGTCACTGATAATTGTTCTTGTAAATGTCTTTAAAAAAAAAAAATTAGAAAAACCTGCATAAAAACTAATGTATGATGGTTGCAAATCATTCGAACAGGGAACAGCCCTGACTCGAATTCCATCAGAAATTATTGGAATGACATAAAGAAAAGCTCCATTCCAAAAACACATCAGTGCCATTCTCAACCAAGTAGATATAAAATCTGAATTCAAAACATGGATTCAACTTCAGAAAAATTTTGATTCTATGCCTAACTGCCTGAAATTAGTTACCAAATCATAGAAGTGTGACCAAATGTTAAAAAGTAAGCAAAATTTAGTTTATCTTACTGTTTATCTGACCCTAGTAAGTTGAGTGCTTTGTTTTGATTATTATGATAAAAATAATTACTATTTATCTTTTGTTACTAAAAATTCCTTTGCAATTTGGCAATGGCTCGGCATCATTTGCAGAGTCTGTAGAAGACCCCTAAAAGAGGAAATGGCCATATACAGTTATAAGATCATAAAAAAGGAAGCAACCAAATGTATAATCAAAGGAGGATAAAATATAGATTTCTTAGTACAGTACTGTACTATCAGCAGAGAGAACAAGGAGCAACAGTTATATACTCATAATAAAGCCATACCCAACTGAGACTAGAATGTTTTTCTTCAGTGGTAGAGTATTGGACTGTCATCCAGTAATAACATAGGTAATTGTAATTCTTAGTATGATTTTGTACCGCAAGTGTTGTTTCTTGTTTCCAGTCCTCTTTTTATTATTATTATTATTATTATTATTATTTTGTAGGTAACAACATGACTTAAATTTTTAACCAATAGATTATTTTAAATTTTTTATATACACCATTTGTAGGTTAAAAATTGATTTCATTTGAATGTGGTATATTACTGTCAGTGTTCAAGTGACCTCTGTTATTTTATAGTTCTACTATTTACCTGATTTCATATCAATTTAAAATGACAAAGAAAAAATTTATACATACATATTTTGATAGCTTCATAAAAAAAATTCTATTTTCTAATTTAGGCTTTAAAGTAAGCACTAGTGTGCATTCTTCTGTTACATGCAGTGATTATAAAATAGCACTGACCCAAAGATATTAGTGTTTTCGTCATAAAAATGGAATAACTAAATGTTGGCAGGAATAAAAAAAAAGTATGACATTGATTATTTATTACAAGTGTGCAAGAGGATGCACAAGTATTTGTAATACTATATTTAACGAATAAAAAATCTTGAAGTAGATGTATTGATTTCCTAATCTTAGGTAGCAAATGATACCTTTGTAGAAGGTATTTTAGCATTGTTGTAAAGTCATGGAGTTTCATACACCTGGGTACAGGCAAGCCTCATTTAACAACGTGGGTTATTTCCAGAAAACTTTAAAAGGGTGACATTAAAATAGGCTTTGGTTACAGGTGTAGGCTGTTTAACCAAGAAAGTTTACTAAACTCTTTGCAGTCCACAATTGCTGCTATGCTGTGTAATACTAATACTACATGTAATTCTTATTAATATAGATCAGAGGGACACACATGAAGGCGTTAAAAGGAAAAGTTATAGACTTCATAATTAAAAAGTACTAAGAATTTTTTTTTTTTTTTAGATATGGAATAATGCATCATTCAAAGGGTTGCTAGTAATGGCTACTTTCATTGAAGCTTGCCTGTAATCCAGTGTGTAGTGAGTATCTGGAGCCTTAATGTCCTCCTTATTACCACACAAGTTCCAGCATGTAACTGCTCATGAATATTGAACTTTGTGTTGGAATTGATCAAATGTATTTGTTGGCAATACATAAAGTACATCATAAAATACAACAAGTACTTTAGCTTTGTAAATACAATATATTTAAAACAAGCCATATATATATATATATATATATATATATATATATATATAATATATATATATATATATATATATATATATATATATATATATATATACACATGTGTGATATTATATTATATATATATATATTATATATATATATATATATATATATATATATATAATATATGCAATAAGATCACAGTAAACAGGTGATTTCAAAATATGCAAAACAACCACTCTGAAAGAATAGAGAAATTCCAAGCGCTTTCGTGACTACTCACATTATCAAGGAACGTTCCTTGATAATGTGAGTAGTCACGAAAGCGCTTGGAATTTCTCTATTCTTTCAGAGTGGTTGTTTTGCATATATATATATATATATATATATATATATATATAATATATATATATATATATATATATAATATATATATATATATATATATATAATATAATATATATATATATATATATATATATATATAATATATATATAATATATATATATATATATATATATATATATATATATATATATATATATATATATATATATACATAACATACATATATACATACATACATATATACATACATACATATATACATACATGTATGTTTTGTATTATGTTATGCAATTTTAAATTAAGTAAATCCATGTTTATTAGTGCAAAAGGAACATTGAATCAGTACTCTTGATAAGATTTTTGGTGTTTAAATTCTTAGTTTTGAATGTTGTTCCTTTTGTGTGTGTTTGTGTGTCTTATATAGCCTTCTATATTTATTTACTGTCACTGGATGTTAAAGTTTCAGAGTTTATATAGAAAGCTTAATCACTCATGCTTGATTGTGGGGCACTTGTGTTGCGTGGATCACTTGTTTAATGTTATTATGTATATTTAATAAATGCCATGATGAAGAAGAGGTTACATACAAAATATTATGTACACAATTGTTTGTATGATTTTATGGCAATAGGTTAAGTTGTACTTGTAAATTATGTAAGAATATGTGGTTTTCTTGTATAAAACTCGTTTATTCTTTGACTTCAAGATAAGCTTGACAAGTATGTACTTGTATAAAAGTGTAAATTGGATCACTATTATACTTCTGTTTACTCTGCTGTCATGTCTCTCTTGTATGTGCCGAAAGCATTTGTGGGTTCACAAAAAGAAGTTTTCAATTATTATACCTCTTATCTATGATATGTACATAGAATATAGTTATGTAAAGAAAGAAAGCAATAGTTGTAGATTTTGAGTCAAAGACAAATGAAATGTTGGTATAATTGTGCTCCTCAATGTTTCCTCTTCACTGGGAGCTCTTCTTCATGTTGTAAGATTTCTAAGTCTGTTGTTAATATTTCATGTAAGTGATGATGAATTGCAGTCATATAGCATGTAGAAGCTGTAGTAAATGGTCAGTGTCTGTGTGTGGGGGTGTGTATATGAGTGGGTGGGTAGTTCCTGATCCTTGTTGTATCTTGTTCTTGTTAATTATGCTCTAGTTAGCAGTGCAGGGGGAAAGGGATATAGAGAATGACATGGCGGCAAGGTTAAGAAATAGCTGAAATAAAAAAATACATGCTAGTCATGTTTTGGTGTACACTAGAAAGTAGCAGCTGAAGTGCCTCTTGGTACAATCTTGTATTAAAATTATAGTTGTGTAGTCTCTTGAAAACCCCTACTTGTAAGGAGGGGGTTGGGGCCTACATGAAGCTTGTTAAATTCATAGGGGGGACTCCACTCCACTATTCAAGTAGGCAGATAATTGCTTGAGTATATTTTGGAGAATATCAGATCGTTTTTTTGCATGTACGTATGTGTTTGTGTGTGAGCGCGCGCACGTGTGTGTGTGTGCATGTGTGCGTGTATGCATGTGTGTGTGCGTGTGTGTGTGCATGTGTGTGCGTGTGTGTGCATGTGTGCGCGTGTCCATGTGTGCGTGTGTGTGTCCATGTGTGTCCATGTGTGTGTGTGTGCGTGTGTGCGTGTGTGTGCGGTGTGTGTGTGTGTGTGTGTGTGTGTGTGGTGTGTGTGTGCGTGCGTGCATGCGTATCTGTGTGCACATGTAGGAGTGTATGTGAATGTACTTACACATCTCTGTGTAAATCCATGCATGCATGTGCAGTTGCATTGGTACATTGGCAGAAGGTATTCCTGAAATATTTTGTATGGGTAGGTGAAAGACTGTTGTGATTATCCTTGTTACTGTCAGCTTTCTTCCTGTTAATATTCAGGCAATGTACAATAAATTATATAAACCCAGTACTCTTCTCATTTAAAGTCCATGAATGTTATAATCTATACCAGCCTCAGACCCTCATGGGTTTATTGCTTAGTTTTGATTGTAATAATAATATACAATGCTCATTAATAAGGCTTTTGGCTCTAAAAATGTAATAGAAGTTAATCTCTACTATTTTCTTTCTTTGCTTCAATTTTATTTTTAACTTTAGCTTTGCATAAGGCCCAACCAACAAAGATAAGTAAAAAGCATGTTTATTTTTTTTTTTTTTTTGTAAATAAAATACAGTATGTACAGTACTTCTTTATGCATCAGATTTTTGATACTGCAATGGAATGTTTAATATTTTACCATTCCTGTACTTCTCAAATATGACGACGCATTCTGTTCATTTCCTTAACTTGGGTTAATAGAAGCATTTAATTGAAACTATTAAAGTAATGCCACTTCAAGCAGTAACTAACTGAAAATAGTGCTTCACTTGGTAAATTAATATTAAGGCAGGACTCGACGTGTGTATCTCTAAATATTAATTTCTCTTGCAGGCGTCCAGTACCTACTGTGCCTCCAAGATTACCCGACCGACCTCATGTTCCACAGCGACCCTACTGAATGTTATTTGCATAATTAAAATGCAGTATTCCCTTGTAGAGCAGATGGGTGCAGATTAATATATGTAATTGCTTAAAATGTTTCTTCCTCAAATGAGTAATGCACTTGTACTGTATCCCAAGAGTATACATGGTAATGAAGAGAGAAACCTGGGTATTGTTGGTTACTCTACACATGATGGTAAGTTTGGTTAATATATGGTTTGTTCTGATAATGAAGAGCAATGCCAAAACAGTGCTCTGTACAAACCCACAATTTTTTTTTTCAGCTAATATCAGACTCCATACATGATAAAGGAAATTACACACCAGCTTCCCAGGTTTATTGTATCAAGTAGTATTGAAACCCAATTACTCTGTTCAGTGTATTCAGTGACATGATTAACACTGGAAATTTTTATAATTATATCTACTAATAATGGGATAAAAAAAAAGTCTGTGATAATATATCTTGTGTTAATTGCTATTGGACTTATTGCTGCTTTGTAGAAAGTTTCATGATGGATTATGGAGAAATGTAAGATAGTTGTACATAAGTATGTAATAAGATGTATGGAATCCAGTCACTCTGAATAAGAAAATACTGTAATATCTTGCCAGTTGTATCATACTTAATTGTTAAATTTAATACTCTTTTTGCTTTACTTAGAGTGATGGTTAATAATTTCAGGTATTATAGGCTTTGTTGCTGATTGGCCACTTGAGAGAAGGTTGGCCAATCACTTTTCTCAATTTGGCAGTCAGGATTGAAGGCCTCCTGGGTTGTGACACTTGTCAAATTTATGCAACTCTTACACACAAAATGCTTAATTCAGAATTGGTATCAAGGGTGCTTGTGCATATTGACTTTTAATACAGAACTTGTTAATTAGTACATGTAAGCAATTGTTGGGAACTTGTTATTGTGCACTTGATGTAAATATCTTTTATGAATTGTAAATGGATACTACATATGATTGTTTAAATACATATAATATAGAGATGTCTGTGTATATGTTTTAAGATATTCTAATGATTGTAAATATGTACAATATGAAGTTACCAAGTGTTGAAGGTAGTTTTAAGTATTTTTATAAGATTTTGTAGGCTGAAGCTAGTCAAGCTTGCCTGTGGAATGTATGTAATTTCTTAGTTGAGGAAATTTCTCTTGTCAGTCATCCCTTTTTATCAGAGAAGTTCTTTTTCGTATTACTGTCTCTAAAGCAAACTTATTTGCAATGTTCGTTGTTATTTCATATGCATTTGATGGAGTTCATGCAAATATTTCTCCTATATATTAGTCTTGAGTTTATTTTACCTTTTATTTGTTCACTGATTTAGCAAATGACAAAGTATAGTAAACTCTCTCTTATAAGGTGACATTACTTGGTGAGATTTCATGAAAATGCAATTGAAGTGCACTAAATAGTAGCACGCAGAAAAGCTATTTAAAATGTGACAAATGAAATGAAACTTGTGAAATTTGGGGCCTCTTCAAGAGGGGCTCTTTGGAATGGTGAAAAGGCCCTTGGTCTGAGGAATTAGACCTTATGGTCTCCTTCCTCAAACTGAACCTAATTACCCCCCAAACCCTCCTTCCCTATCCTATCCTCCCATCCCCTCTTTCCCTTTCCTTCTCTCCTCTATCCCCTTCCTGTTTTCAGCCTTTGGGATTCTCCCCACAGGCCTAGTTCCTAGGTAGGGGGACGGGTACCGTGGTCCATCCCATTCCATTGGGGTCCGTGGTGGTGGTGTAGTTAGCCATGGAATCTGGATCGCCTGGGGATGTCCTGATTCCTCTCCGGTCTCCTGGGAGGGGGAGGCGGCTTTGGGTATCTTTCAAGTGACTGGTGTATCTCTGAAGGCTATCTTTTGGATTCTAGGGGGTGGTGGCTAGAGGAGGTATGCTTTGTGGCGAGTGTCTGGTCGCCCTCTCTCCTGTTAACTGAGGTGGCTTGGTGGATGTGAGGTTGCTATCCCACATAGCTGGTTTACTGGCATGAAGGGTAGAGTATGGCACAGGTTCCATGCCGCATCTGCACTACTTGCAGTGCTGAGATCCTCTTGGGTGGGGAGGGAAATTTACAATTCTTTCATTCCTCCTAGGAACTATTCTTCCACATTCCTTCCCCCCCCCCCCTTTTTTTTTTTTTCTCTCTCTCTCTCTAACCATGGGGTTACCAATCCATGAACCTGCTCTCCCCCCTAGGCCCCTTCCTGATACCACACCCTGTTCTGACCCTGCCTCATTATTTGACCACTCTTTGGACATTTCTAATGCCCCTGTACCTCCTGCTGGTGCTGTTTCAACACCTGCTCCAGGTACCAGGGTTTCGACTGACTCCTTCGATACATCTGACCTCCGCTGTTCTTTGACTATGCTTCCGGCTTTTCCCTCTACGGTGCAGCAATTTTCGGATCACCCGCCCGTCCTATATCGGACCAACTCCGGTCCCACACCTAAACACTCGAGACCATTACCTGACGATACTTCTTCACTTCCTTCTCATTCTACGTCACGTGCACTCTGTACATGCTGTGATTCAAAATACACAATGGACTAAGTTTTTTTTTTTTTTTTTTTTAACTCTATGATCAACTTCCTCTACTGCCAATCCTTCAGTGATAGGCAAGGCACTCCTATGCCATGTTGGTAGATATACTATATTCTTTCATGCTCACCAAGCTCACGATCTTTCTCTCCTTACAACTACCAATACTGTTCCTGTTCCCTCAGTTCTTGTAATGGTACTGTCATTCTGCCCCATACCATTATCCAACAGAATTTCCAGACGTGGTGATGACATTCTGGAACAGCTAGAACTCCAAGACCTCCTAATTCTCAAAGTAGACACTAATGTCTTCCCTGCCTGCAGGCGGAGATTATATCTTTGCAGTGTAGCTCGCTTAACTTTTGACTGCCGTGAGCTTCTGTCCTCTGTATACAGTGGACCCTCGACTAATGCTATTAATCTGTTCCTGAGAGCTCATCGTTAATCAAAATTATCGTTAGTCAAGTTAATTTTCCCCATAAGAAATAAAGGAAATCAAATTAATCCGTGTATGACACTCCAAAGTATGAAAAAAAAATGTTTTTACCACATGAAATATTAATTTTAATACACACAAACTGAAGAAGACATGCACAGTTACATGACACTTACCTTTATTGAAGATCTGGTGATGACTGATGGGATGGGAGGAGAGGAGAGTGTTGATGGTCTTAGTGTTTAGAAGGGGAATCCCCTTCCATTAGGACTTGAGGTGGCAAGTCCTTTTCTGGGGTTACTTCCCTTTCCTTTAAATCTCTCAAACCAACCTTTGCTGGCCTTAAATTCACTCACATCACCACTAGTTGCTGGCATTTTTTTAATTAAATCGTCATGCAACTTCCTAGCCTTTTCACATATGATCGCTTGAGAGATGCTATCTCCTCCTATCTGTTTTTCGTTTATCCACACCAATAACAGTCTCTCAACATCGAGTACTTGCGATCTCAGTTTCGAAAACATAGTTGCACCTTTGGCAAGAACAGCTTCCTTGATTGCCGTTTTCTTGCACACAATAGTAGCGATGGTTGATTGGGGTTTTGTGTACAACCTGGCCAGCTCAGTGACATGCACTCCACTTTCATACTTAGCAATGATCTCTTTCTTCATATCCATAGTAATTCTCACCCTTTTTGCTGTAGGGTTGGCACTAGATGCTTTCTTGGGGCCCATGGTGACTTATTTTGCAGGTGCAATCACTAAAAAGGCTGTGATAATATGAAATGTTCAGATTGTATGCTTGGAAGCGACCGAGGTGGCTGGCTGGCTTGTAAACACTGGCCAGAAGTGGACTCGTCTCAGACGGAACGAATAGTGTTGGTCGAGTTTTTTAGCGCTAGTCGAGGCAAAATTTTTGCGTTAAAATGTATCGCTAGTTGGATTTATCGTTAATCGATGCCATTGTTGGTCGAGGGTCCACTGTATATAGTGGGACACCGTTTACAAGTCTGAGAGGTGATCCCTACACCACAACAGTGTAGAAATTGCTGGCGTTTTAGCCATCCAGCAAAATATTGCAGTCCATAGCCGAGTGCCCAGTCTGTGGTGCCGACGACCATACCAATACGTCTTGTAATCTACCTCCCTCTTGCCTTAATTGTTATGAGGCTCGCCCATCTTACTCTCGCTGTTGCCAGGTTTATTTAAGTGAGCATGAAATCCATTGTCTCAAAGAGGCAGAAGGCCTCCCATTATGCTATGGCACTCTCTCTTTTCTATGCCTCCAGGGGACACTTCCCCATATTTCTTATTTTTGAGTTACTAAACATCCTCCTCCCTCTGGGGCCCCAGCTTCTGCAGCCTCCACTGTGGTCACCCCTTCCATAGTCACCTGTCTAATTCTTTTGCTGTCCTGGACTCAGAGGTCCCTACTTCAGCACCACATTCTGTCCTCGCCTCTTCCTTTTCTCATAAGTTTGTGTCTACAGGACCTCGTACAACACCTACTCCACATCGCCCCTTTCCTTCTCTGAAGTACAACACATCCCAATTGTTAAAATCTCCTTTCACCCCTTTTTCCCTTCTGCAACATGCTCGTTTTTCCTTCCCAATCTCTGTACCTGGTTCTTCACCTCTAACTGGCTGTTAAGAGTGTGGAGGTTCATCCTCCTTTTCGTACAGTACCTTCTTTCCCTGTCCCCTCCCAAGTTTCTTCCTCTTCTCCCTCCTCCCAAGTCGCTTCCTCTCCTGTTCCCTCCCAAGCTGCTTCTCTAGTTCCCTCTACCCTTTCGTTCCCCCCCCCTACTTTGGTACAGTCCACAGTCTCTCCGATCTTTACTCCCCCTCCTCCTTCCATCTCCAATATTGTGCCACATACAATGTCCTTGTCCTCAGAAACACTTGAAGTTATCTCAGAATATATTGAGGAGACTAGACCATTGATGGATACCATTCCACCTCCTGTTCCTCCTTTTCACTCTTCTCCGTCTGCACAACTCCTTTCTTCGCAGTGTCCCAATCCTTTGCTGCTTAGTAGTTTTCCACTACTTCCACATGTGGACTTTTTTAACCCTGCTAGTCCATAGATATTTCTTGTATCTTTCTCTTCGCAAATCGTGGCTTATTTACAATGGAATATCCGCGGCATCAGAGGTAACCAGGGTGAGCTCCAGGTGCTGCTTTCTGAGTTTTCCTGCTTGTTTACAAGAACCCAAATTATGCTCCACTGTTAATCATCCCATCTCAGGCTATGATTCATTATATTCATCAGATCATTTTCCCAATGGAACCTTTAATGAAAGTGCACTTATACACACCAGTATTCCATACCGTCAGCTCTTTGTTCATACTTTGTTGCATTACACTGCAGCCCTTATCCACTTGAATAAGTGGTATACAGTCTGTTCTTTGTATCTCTCTCCTTCTTGAGCCTTATCTATCCCACATATTGCATTTCTGGTTTCTTCCTTACTGCCACCACTTCTGTTACTTGGCGATTTTAATGCCCACCATTTCCTCTGGGGGGAGGAGGGTTCTCGCTATGACTCCTGCGGCATTCAGTTGGAGGTTTTTCTCGCTTCTCTCCCCCCTCCATGTTTTAAATACGGGTACTCCCACCCATATTGATCCTCGTACTCATTCTCTCTCTTGCATCAATCTTGTCTACGCTTCCTCCACTGTACTAGACTTCACCTGGTCTGTCCTCCCGGACTTGCATGACAGCGATCATTTTCCAATCATCCTTACTTCTTCATATTCACCACCTCGTAGCACATGCTGGCAATTTGACTGAGCAAATTGGGACCTTTACTCGCATCTAACTACTTTTAGTGAGGGTCCTTCTTGTCCTCCATTGGTAAGCTTTTACACCTCTTCTCAACCTCAGTTTTAACCTCAGCTTCACATTCTATACCCCAAACCTCGGGCAGACATTCTTAGAAGTGAGTGCCTTGGTGGTCTCCTGTGTTCCGTGGGGCAGGTACTGGTACAATAGAACCATGGTGAGACTCCTTGATTTTGAGCAGAAGTGAGCAGTTCGCTCGCCGTGTCATCCGTGACTCTAAACGCACTTGCTTGCGAGATTTTCCACCATCACCTCTGCTTCCTTTGAGTGCATTCTGGAAAAAAGTACGAAAACCAAGTGGTAATTACTCTCCTGACCCGGCTCCTGTTCTTCGGGTTGCCGGTGTTAATATCGCAAACCCTCTTGACGTTGCCACCGAAATTGGTAATCATCTTGTCTGTATCTCTCAGGGGGCTTCATCTATGCCCCTCGTTTCACTCCTCAAAGTCTGCCAGAGAGTTAGAGCCC